ACCTACACTTTCAGATATTTACAGCACAAAACGATTGCTGTCTTCACGGAGATTACAATACCACGGCCACTTTCTGTCTGTCAAAATACAGACAGTGGGCGTATGCCTGCAACAAACGTTTACAGGTTGCACCTCCCAAATTCAGGATTCTGTGATTCAGCAACACCCGTGGGTCTGGAATGACCACGGATGTTCCTGGATAGAGAGCCCTAGAGCAGGAAGGCCAGCAGCTAGGAATGCAGCACAGCCCAGCGAGTCTGGTAGCAGCCAAGCTTCAGCAGCAGGGGCTGTCCGGCAACAGGGCAACGACTATGGCAGCCCTGGAGGGGAAGCCAGGTCGGGGATGCGTCAGCCTTGGTGCTGGCGGGGCTGCAGTAGACTTTAGGAACTTGGGGCAGTTAAGCTATTCCATTAATTCAGTTCATATCTTGAGAGGAATATTTTGTGTATAACCTGCAAAGTGAATGGAAAGGTACCACTCTAAGTATACAACACAAGCACAACTTCATTGTTTGAAAATGAAAGAAAAGTACTTCACACACTTTCAATTTTTAGTTGTATTACATACTAATTCACTTGCCACTCATTGCAGCAAACAATTTCATTAATTTTTTCAGACCTGAAGGACAAATATTTCCAGTGCTAATGTTTGATTCTTTATTTAAAAAAAAAAAAAAAAAAACCCAAGATATAAATCTATGAACTTGACCCTTACTTTTCTGTTTTGAAGAATATTGCACAGCCATCCACATGCTTTCTCTCCTGCTCGGACATGATTTTGGCACGTGACTTTGGAGAAAAAAATCCATCATACCCACGTTCTTTTAATGCCAGCAGAAAGAGGGTGAAGTATTGCTCTGTTTCCACTTCCTGGAATAGAATACAGCTAATGTTACAATGAAGAAAATTAGTGACATGTTAATAAAAAAAGTAAATGCTCCCTCCCCTGTATGAATACAAACCAAAGCAAGCGTCTGTTACCAAATAACTTGTTGCCAAACCCACAGATTTATGTTGCTTACATGGAACCTTACGTTTTACTTTAGATTAGTTGTCTGATATATGATAAAGATATTGGGAGTCCTGCAAGTCAAAAGAAGTTTCAAAAAGGAAACATGGCAGATGTATTTTGAGAAGTTGTCCTGAACATCAACAGGAAGCCCACCATTCATTTTTGACATCTAAAAAGTGGATACTCTCCTAGTTTAAAAAAATTATTTAGAGATATACAACAATTTAGTGCAAACTTTTTCATTCAAGTTGGCTGTTTTTTTCTTAATGTGAGATGGATGGATTTTATTCTTGTAATATACTAGAACTTGTTTAAAAACCAAAATTAGATAATCTTTAAAGCCAACACCACTCAATTGTACTTGACGCTTAGGATAAATTCTTACCAACATGTATATTGGTAAGCAATGTATGTGCCAAATCAGCAAATCACTGCTTAACTTTTAAAGATATGCGTACTACTCCTTTGATTCTAAGTGGACTGCTCATATGGCTGAATTAAGCATAAGCACGAGTGCTATGTTGGATAGGAGTCATAGCAGGGGATTAGAAGAAATGACTTAGGTTAAAATGCAATTTCTTCTTTTTCTCATTAAAGCCTGTTGATTTATTACAAACTAAGTAAAATATTTAGAATACTTGTAGAGAGACAGAAATTCTAATACCAGTTATGTATTAGAAAACATGAGAAGCTAAACTATCATTATAAAATTACAATAATTTAACTAGAATCTGTGCATACATACTGGAATGAACACTTTGAGGTTCACCATTAAGATAAAATACTTTGAATAGAATACCGGCCCAAAAAGGTATTAGGTATTCTTTTTCCAGATGAAAGCCAAAACAAAACAAAAAAAGTGTTGGTTTTTTACTGTTACCTGAAGACTAATGATATCTGCATCCCAGTTCACGATTTCTTCCATGATTCCCTTTTTTCTATACTCCCAATTTAATGCCCAGGACGGGCAGTAGCCATATAGCTGCCGGGTGGCGTATTTATCACATAACACATTGTAACACATGACCGTGAATGAAGCTAGGAGGAAACAGAGGGGATTATTGATGAACATAGATAAAACAGAATTTTTTGCATAAAAGATACCTATTATTGCATGTTACTTCCTCTGTGCTGAAGGATAATTCAGTATCTCAGTAAGTGCACTGAGTCCCCCCCCGCCCCACATTTCATTAACGGGGAGGAGAGTCATAAAATCCTTTGAAGTAGCAACTGAAATACGAGGGTAAACTCTGGGGGAAAAACACTACTTGCTTGCATGTGCAAAATACGCATCTCTTTGTGCAAAAGGTAATTGTTGACAGAGTTCTCAGCTGCTTGGCCTAAGTTTGCATTATTACTTATTTTATCATACTGAAGCCTGGGAACAACTATCGCTAAATGAAGCACAATAATTGGTACATACATGCTTCTCCTACTTACATCATTGGGAGCTGCAAGTGCTCCTGATATCCCAATTAGGTCCCCATTTAACAGTTTGTTTTGCACTTTTGTGACCCATCAAGAATCCAGAGAAGCCAATGGGCCTCTACAGGATTTTTATGTAGGAAAAGCCAGGAGTACAGCTGAGATGATTGCTAACTGAGCCAGGAGCTAACATCTATTGTCTCAGCTACCTTGAAATAGCAGCTTCAAGCTTAAATCTTCTTACTATATACTTCAGAAACGTCCATCTGTTTGTGTGTCAGTTCAGGAATCCATTCAAGAACTTCTTTTAAATGGTAAGAACTAGGACCGCCAAATTTGGTATGCAGCTTCCTCTTAAAAAAATCCTTGCTTAAAGCAAGGTTAGGGTTTGGTTGTGCCAAGGTAATGGGATGTGCCTAGAATTCGGCTGTTTCTCATAAAATGTAAAGGGAGGGGACTGGTAGAAGGGAAAATTATACTGAAGAATGACCGGTGGGGGGGGGGCAGTGTTCAGAAATGGAGACCAGGACAACTATAACCCCATTAGGCCAGCAGGGGGCAGGAGTGAAGAAAGGGACAGTTATCTACTATACACTTCAGAGTCTGTCTGTCTATCCGTCCTCCCACTGGAGATAATGCACGCCTCCCCTGGATGTGCTCAATGGAGCTGCAGCAGCCATGGACAAGTGAGAGAGCTGCTACAGTGAGAGGGAGGAAACTGTTCTGGCTTCATGGGGCAGACTGAACCCCTCATCTAGGGATGTCAAATAACATTTAATTGAATAGTTGAGTAACCTCATGAATTCTTAACTGTTAGTCGACTATTCCACAGTACCCGGGGGCAGAGCCAGTAGCCAGTGTGCTCCTGGCCATGGTCCCAAGGAACCCCCAGCCACTCCGTGCTGCTGCCTCTGTATCAGAGGCAGCCTTCATGGGGCAGACTGAACCCCTCATCTAGGGATGTCAAATAACATTTAATTGAATAGTTGAGTAACCTCATGAATTCTTAACTGTTAGTCGACTATTCCACAGTACCCGGGGGCAGAGCCAGTAGCCAGTGTGCTCCTGGCCATGGTCCCAAGGAACCCCCAGCCACTCCGTGCTGCTGCCTCTGTATCAGAGGCAGCAGCGCAGGGCATCAGGCAGGAGCTGGTCTGCGAGGGGAACCAGTTTAAAAACCAGCTCCCCTTGTGGACCAGCTGACTGTTGCCCCGTGCTGCTGCCTCTGATACAGAGGCAGCACTGTGGGGGGGCAGCAGCCTGTTTTGCACACCCAGACCCAGCACAAGCCAGAGCTGAGCTGAGCTGCCTGCCCACCTGGCTCCTAATGCTCTTTAAATGCAGAGCTACAGTGGGGGTAGGTCCCAGACCCGGTGTGAGTTGGAACTAAGCCTGGCTGTTTGCCCACCTGGCTCCTAATACATTTTAAATGCAGAGCTGCAGCAAGTATGGGTCCCGGACCCATCACAAGCCAGGACTGAGCTGGGCTACTGGCTAGCCTGCTAAAAAAATTTACTGGGGGGAGAGGGGGAAAAATGCGTGTAGTCTATAGCATTAACTTATAAGCTTTTTCTAATCAGTTAATCGACTATCCTATTTCATCCCCATCCGAGAACAATGATTTAAATTAAAAAAAAAAAAACTCATTTGAGCTAAGGACCTGAACAACACTGGGCAGGTCTTCTAATAGCTTATATAATGAAACAGCATTAAACAGCATGATTATACAGCAAATTGCTGACGGATGTGCTACTACTGTAACATTTTGCTAGTTTTCCATGGTATACTGTTGTGACGGAGTGCGGACGCCCCACCGCTGGGCAGATACGGCAGCCAGGAATTCTGGTTGCCTGGCCCTTCCCTGCGCTTGTGTGGTGCATGCTCACGCCAAACGCCAGGCGCTTTAAACGCTGGCAGCGTGACTGGGGTGGGGGGGTGGAGGGGGAGGACTGCCCTCCTGAGCAGAAGACGGAGAGAGCCGGAGGAGGCACCCTACTGGCAGCACGAAGAGCCGGCGGGTCCACCTGTGAGGAGGAGCGGTCCGACCCCCCAGCCGGGAGAGGAGCATCCCGCAGCCAAGCGACAGGCTGAGGCGGCGCCCCCCGGGGAAGCAGACAGCGTCCCGGCTGGAGACGCCAGAGAACCAAGTACCCCAGTCAGAGAGAAAGGGAGGGGTAAGAAGGAACCCAGGGCGGGCTTGTCCCGCGTGGCTGGAGACTTGTGGAGCGGAATCCCGCTCCAGCCTTAAAGGGTCGGTGTTCTCCGACCCCTAGGGCCCTGGCTTGGGGCCCGGAGGTGAAGGTGGGCCCGGGTCCCCCTACCCACTCCCCTTCCCCCTCCCTCACCCAAAGGGAAGACAGAAAGAAGGGGAGTGACTTTGAGGGGCCGCGGCAAATGTGGCGGCCCATCGGAGACACTGGGCAGAATACCCCCCCTTGGGTGGGGGACCCTCAAAGTATACACAATTGTCATTGCTCGCTGTGTCCTGTTTACTGTTCTTTTTGCTTTAAGACCCTCTAGGAATGGACCTGTGGGCCAACCTGTCTGGGGAGTGCCACCGTCATTTCTATGGACCTGAAATCAGGATTTAACTTAAACCTTGCAAGAGGAGAATTTTGAGGGATATCACCTGTGTACTAGCAAATATGTTAACCTGAGCTATGGATGGAGCAATTATGTAATCTTTTAGACTACTGGCTTATTGTGCTAATTTTGTCTTACTGCTAGAACCTATCCAGGGCCTTGGGAACTCCCACCCTGTCGCTTCTCTACGTCCATTGGCACCCTATATAATCTATAGTAATCCATTGTTTAGCAGTGTCTCGCTGAGCCTAACAGCGAAATGACACTCCACCAGCACTGTGCATAATAAACCCTTGTGCTTGGATCTATATGTTCCTTCATAGATCATTAGAGAATTTACTTTCTCTTTTTCCTGTGGTGGAAGACCACACTTTGGCCAAAGAAAAACATTAAAGTAAAATCAGGAGGTATAGATTTAAAAAGAAAAGTTTGGCAAACAATGAATGTTGACGTTTTAATACAGTAGAGAAAATGAGTGTCATGCTTCCTATTAGCTCATCCAACCTAAATCACCCATCTTTCTCGCTCAATGGCAAATCGAAGGTTTGAATGTTTCACTTTAGAATTTACAATGATTGAAAAGCTGACCAAAGCCAGCTTCCCACTACTAGGCAATAAGAAGGGTCTCTTTTGAAGAAAGGGGTAGTCAGATTTGCAAGGGAAATTTTTGTGGATATGAGATTATCCCAACTTCCGATTACTTAGAACACAGAGCTCCAGGAAGGTATCATTTCAAGCTTCAAAAATTAACTATTGTTAATTTGGTCTCAAAATTTACCTAAAGATGATTTTTCTCATGAAAGCTGAAAACACATTGAAAGCATAAATTAAAATGACAAGCAAAAGGAAAAATAAAAGGAAGGCTGAAAATTTGTTCTGAAGGATTCTTTTCTTATGCTTGATTTAATAAAAGGGATTTTCTGCAATCAGAATGAGGAGCCTGAAACTTCAAGGGCAAATTTATGAATGTTTCATAAGTTAATAAAAATGAATAAAAATCCAGACGTGGCTCCATTTGTAAACAATTCTTGTTCTAAACCCAGAAATTTTATTAACAACAAAAAGGAAAGAGAAGAACTTGTACTGGACCAAGGAAAGCGGCTCAATTTAAAAAAAAAAAATCTTAAAAATAGATATTTGCTGTTCAGTACAGTAAC